GGGGGGAGGAGGAGTAGAGCTTAGAAATGATTGCAAAATCTTCAATAGGGAAGGGACAATGGTTTGCAGAAAAACTGAATGGATAAAGAGGGGAAAGTTTTTTAAAATACTGGAAAGTACAGAGAAAAAGGAAAGCAAATAGGAACAGGGGAAAAGCAATTAAGAGGGAAAGATTATTAAAAGAATTAAACAGAGAATAAGGGATTGATTGAAGGGTGAGAGGAGAGGCAGTAAGAGTGAGCAGGATCGGGGGAGAAGGCAAAACTTACGTATCTGAATTCATGTACCTCGTTATTGCTTCTTAGTGGCTGTGCAGTTATTCCAGGTGGAATCAAAATAAGATAAGACCAAAAGGGAAAGAAACAGAGCAGGGGGGAAACTCGTTATGTGACTAAAATTTAGGATAGTAATTAGCTTCTGGCAGTAGATAGGCTAGTGCTGAAGCTAATTTCTGCTAAATGAAGTAATGGATTTCCCCAAAGCTGGCAACTCTCAAAGTATGTTACACTTTGCTGCCTCTGACAGAGAAATTACTGCCAAAGAGTGGAAATGAAACCTTTTTATTCACAAATGAATGTAAATATAAATGCTCATCATGGCTGTTTGATTCAATATGAAGAGCATGCAGCTCGCTAGCAGAGCTCTCAATGGTCCTCTCTAAACTGCTAGTGATGTGATTCACTTTTGTAACACACAGCAGGATGTACGGCAACTGCAGACTTATGTGCCCATTATGCTGTACAAGACTAAAGACTGGGTGCCTTTTAGCCACCTTAAAGGCCAGATTCTCTCCTATGCTGAGACCTGAGCAGTGCTAGCAAAGGAGGGTGGGGAAGTGAGGGAGGCAGTTATGGCTCCCTGATTCTCAAATGGCCCCAGTCCTGATGTAAGTTAAGAGTTGCTGAGGAGCTAGTCTACCGTATTGACCATATGCCAGCTGCAGATTGGTGCATGAGGCTGTGTTCCACCCCTCCTATATTGAGATATGGGCAATGGTTGAGATAGGAGCTGCACTGGATGGATTTGCAAACTGACAATTGTGGCCAGCTTTGGCTCACTTTGTACAACTTTAAGCATTAAGAGCCTGGAACAGGGCAGATGATGTGCTCCTGGAAGTTCAAGCTCAGCGTAGCCATCCAACTTCTTCAAGGTCTGTTGTTAACATTCATTTTCTAGGTGCTGATCGCTCTTTCAACTTTTCAGCTTAGGTTTTGAGTGTTTTGAAAGAGCCATGAGATACACTCTATAACTAAACAGAGAAGTTCTAGTCTACACTGAGACATGCTAGTAACTACATGGCTTTGAATCCTCACAAACTGAATAGATTTCTGCAATTTACCAATCCACTGAATAACAATGTGACACTACTATTCAGTAATAGCGGTGAGAGTCTCATTTTATTCAAACTCCTATTCTGAAACATCCCACCTTTGTTAATGTATTTGCATATTCCATGCAGAAATCCCTCTTAATATTAATGGGATACTGAGGCTGAGAGATCAAGCACTCTGGACAGGAAATGCAGAGTTATGGTTGCAAGCTCAATCTTAACTTTGCCCATTTGTGCTTACACCATAAATTATGGCTTTGTGCTATTTGACATTACTTGTGAATTAATACTATATATAATGTAATGTAAAATGGGATTTTGATATTCTCTCCTTGTATCCAGTAAGTTACAGCACATACAATCTGGAGACAGCTTGGGTTTTAAGTCTGAGAGGTTTGAAGAAAACCACAATTCAATTATTTTGAAGCTTGGAACACCTAAAGCTAGCAAGCTGAAATGTTTTCACCTTTTTTTAAGATCATTTTACAACTGGAGCAACATAGAGTGTCAGATGCCTCAAAGTTAGGATTATCTTAAACGTAGCAACATAGTTTCTGAACTGTCTTGCATGACAGATGGTCTCAATCTCTCAACTATTTTCAAACTGGCCTCACCTGAAATGTGAAAGCATGGGACCATCTTAACTTGGCCATATATAACCTATAATCATTCACAGAACAGATTTATTCAGGGGTCTGCTGGCTTCTGCCAGAATAGATCAAGGAACAGAGTCTTGGTGGCAAAGACCAAAAGGAGTGGAGGGATAGCTACTGCAACCTGCCCGCTCCCAGGGGCCAATGAAGCCCAAAATGTGGGTTGGCTAGGAAGGAGTGTGGCTAGTAAATTCAGGCTGCAGCCTTCACTGATTTAAAGCTGTCTTCACCCAACTAACCCCCAAATAAGGGTGAATCTGGCCCCATGACTGAAACAATATTCCTTACACATATCTTTTGCAGACATAAAAGCCACGTTATCTAAAGACTGAAATTGATTACATGTAAGGACGTATAAGAGAGTCCAGTTTATATTGTGTTATGTAACAATTTATAATGATATAGAGAGACTATTTTAAGTCATATGCTCAAGAGAGCAAATTTGGTTGAGCTGCTGTATTTCCAGAATCAATGCTTGATTCCTCATCCTGAAATGTTGTATTAATGTTAGGTTTTTGCCTGGAATTTTTAAAGAAAGTAAAGGGACGAGAATTATTAATGGAGCTGGTGCACACTGCAATTTGCAATTTCTAGCCACCCAAATACCCACAAAAACAATCCTTGTTTCCTCATGACATTTTCCACCTATCCAACCAAGTCTCTTGCCTCTCTCTGCCTCTGTTTTCCCTATACCAGGCAGCATGCTGACCCCAGCGGCGGAGACCATAAACCCACAGGAAAGAGAGAGGCTGTCAGCCATTCATCTTATTACCCTCTTCATTCACAGTGTGTGATTTCTGGAAATAGTACAGCCAGAGTGTGGTGTCCTGCTGCATGTTCCTGCTCAGCAAACCAACTTCCTTTTCCTTGTATGAGTTTCCTTCCCCATAGCTGATCTAGTGGGTGATCTAATGATTGCTCCCTATATTTATTGCCTACTGATCTTGGGTGCCTCAGTGGTTGAGCACCTGCTGCTGAGTTCTCAAAACTGCAGTTAACATTAATATTTTAAATATAAAGGATTATCTGTTTTGAAGAAAAAATGAATAACGTTTTTACAATTGGAGAAGTGTAGTGTTTTAATCCTCTTGCAATTCAAAAACTGCTGAAAGAATTTTCCTCACTTTCCAAAACAATTTACCTTTGGGCAAAAACTAAGGAACTCATCCTGCCTTGAGATCTGCTAGCATGGACCCCGCATATGCAAAGGGTCTCCCTAAAGCCAATGCAACTCCATGTGAGCACAGGGCTCTTTGCTTGCACATCTGGATGCAGGACTGGGATCCAAGCATGAAATATTTCAGGTCCAAAGGTGAATGTTTTGTGAGTGAGTTGTGAGTGTGTAAACTGCAGAAGCTAAATAGGAAAAAAAGTCAGAAAGAACTTAGTGCTTAAATTTCTGGCTATTTCCAGAGTAACTGATTGAAAATGGAGATTCAAATATGTTAACTCCCCTCCCAGGTTTCTTCTTTCATCGTTCATCATATATTCTCTTGCAATCTTAATGCTATTTTTTCCTGACTTTCTAATGTGGTGCTGTTCCATCTGTCAAACTTAAAAATTAGCAAGTATAGTGCCAGATAGACAGTACTGAAACCTGAAGTCCTAGATTCATACCCAACACAGCTCTCAAATCTTGAGCTAGAGAAAGACTGCACTATAATTTTGGGAAAAATGAACAACCACCTTTGTATTTTTCAATGGATACCCTAACCTCATTCCTCGTCACTACTTACCCGTGCTGATTTGGCAGCAGACTAAATGGTAAAAAGAAAAGGAGTACTTGTGGCACCTTAGAGACTAACCAATTTATTTGAGCATGAGCTTCCTTTTCTTATTGTAAAGAGAGTGATCACTTTAGATAAGCTATTACCAGCATGAGAGTGGGGTGTGGAGAGAGAGAACCTTTTGTAGTGGTAAACACATTTTTTCATGCTTTGTGTGTATAAAAAGGTCTTCTACACTTTCCACAGTATGCATCCGATGAAATGAGCTGTAGCTCACGAAAGCTTATGCTCAAATAAATTGGTTAGTCTCTAAGGTGCCACAAGTATTCCTTTTCTTTTTGCAAATACAGACTAACCCGGCTGTTACTCTGAAGACTAAATGGTGACTCTGCAAAGGAGATCAAATGCATCCTTTCCTTAGCATAAGATGGGTATCTGATCTTGTCTCTGCAAAATTCTCCATTTATTAGCAGTAAATGGAACTTCACCACAAGTTATGCTATGAGCTAGAAATCAATGATGATTTTTAAACTGAAAAAGGGATCACTCCCAAATAAATTTGCACACACACAAACATTTAAACACTGTAAGCTATGAAACAGTCACAAGAAGTTACATGAAAAGTTACCCAAGGAAATACATTGGGAAGGTGGAAACATGCCATCATGCCCAGGTACAGTACCTCAGACTTCTAATCCTAAGGTCCCCATTGTCCCCGAGCTCTGGCATTGTGGGCTACGTTTTCACTTTAGAGTGTGCATCTGCCCATCAGCGCTATTGTGCATTTTGCTCACACACAAAAGGACATGTATATTACAGAGAGAAATTTCTCCTACTTATCTTAGAAACAGCCAACTACAGAGCCCAATGCTGCTCTCCTTTACACTGGCGTAAATCCAGTGAAGTCACTGGAGGTAGTGGGGCGCTACCCTGAGCTGAGAATGGAAGTGGGCCAGTACGCTGTTTGCCAGCAGAGACACCGCCGCCCCCTCACTGTACCCAGTCAAGTGGGCCTGTTAGCGGGTTCCTATTTCCTTGAGTGAACTTTTTGCCAGCGTCGGGGCTCGCGATCTGCTTGCTGTCCCTCTGGACGGAGTATGGCAGGCTGGAGAGAGTTGGGGCAGATCCCGAAGCCGGGAGGCTGGGGTTCCCATTGTTTGAAATGAGAGCAGCGGGGTGGGGGAGCCTTTCCAGGCCGGCGCGGAGCCACCCCAGGAGCGCTGCGGTCCCTCCCAGCCCGGGCCGTGCGGGGCACGCTGCGGAAGGAGAGGAGGCTCCCGGAGCCCTTACCGACTCGGCGAGCAGGAGCTGCCCTTTGCTGGAGCAGAGGAACTCCCTCGAGGGCAGGAGCGCGCGAAGGCCAGGCGGAGGCGCGGGGGCGTCGGGCTCCTCCGAAGCGGGCAGGTCCATGGCCGGGAGCGGAGCGGGGCTCGCCTGGGCGGCTCGGGCTGCGGCTGAGCGCCTGGGGACTTGGATTTTTTTTTTTTTTTTTTTTTAAGGAGGGAAACGGAAATCGTGACACTGCGGAAATGTGAAAAAAATTTCTACATCTGCAAATCTGGGGAGTGCCCGGCCTGAGCGCCTCTGCCGCCGCGCCCCGGCTCTCCTCCCTGCCCCCGGCTGGCCTGCTGCGCTTAGCCAGCTTCGGGGCGCTGGCAGGCAGCCAGGCTTTGTACCCCAGCCTGCCCCTCTGTACTGCCTCTGCGCCCCCAGACTTCCACTGCCGGATCCATCCTGGTGCAAGAGCGCGGCAAAAACCTAGCGCTAGCACCTGGATCCGGCTAGTCTCCCCCTCCTCCCAAACATGTACCGCCAAATAGAAAAGTGTAGAGGCTCCTATGACATCAATAAACCCAGACTTCGATGGTCCGTGGCATGACAGTGCTAGAAACATCTGGACCCAGCTAATTTTTGGCCCAACTCCACAAAGCCCAATGCCTAAAATAAATAGAAAACAAATTTAGTTGTTCCTACCGCACAAATAGTTGGATGCCAATGTATCCTGGTGTTACGGCATTACAAAACCCCAGATCTAGTTCCCGAATCTCCCTAATTTTGGCTGCATATCCTCCCAGTCTTTACCATCTAAATTTAGTACCTATGCAACTTCTCCTGTGCCCCCACAATAATCCAAATTCCAGTACATCATGGTGCAACATTGCTGCAAAACACCATAATCAACAAGGTAGCAATGCATATTTCAGGTTCCTTACATTACATGCAACACTAAATATACCCATTGACACAGCAGTAAACTTAACTAGTTCAAGTGCATATAGCTAAAGTGCTGGAAACAATTATCTAACGTGAGATGCTCCATAACTGACCAGCCATTTAAGTTGTGAAATTCACATTTCAGTGTTTATTTGTTATTTTGGTCAAGAATAATAATCAGGGCATTATTATTTTAGTGGCTAGAACAGCAACAGAACCCTCACTAGAAAGTAGTAAAAACTGGCAGATTAAGTGCTGATTGACTAGAAGTCAAGTATAGGAATACCAGAAGAGAACTTAATATTTGTAAGAATAAGAGGATGGAACAAGGTACCAATGTACGTTGTGGAAACAGCAGCTAAAACATACAAATACTTCTGAAAGCATAGCTCATCATTGCTAGACAAGAAAGGCAAAAAAAAAAAAACTATTGAGAATGCTGAAGAAAATATGAAAACTATACTGCAAGCATGCAGAGAGGGAAGAGGTCAATTCTAAGACAGAATTAAATGTATGAATGAAAAAAATACAGAAAAGTACAGAAGCTGATTTAGTAGTACTGTAGTAAGAATCTATAATGGAATTTTCAGAGATTGGTCTAGCCCAGGGGTTCTCAAACTTCATTGCACCATGACCCCCTTCTAACAACAAAAATTACTACACGACCCCAGGATGGGGATGCTAAAGCCCAAGCCTCACCGTCACAGGTGGGGGAAGAGGGGGCAAAGCCCAAGCCCTGCTCCCCCAAGCAGGGGGGCCAAAGCCCAAGGACTTCAGCTCCGGGCAGACGGCCTGTAACCTGAGCCCATCACGCTTTGGCCCCAGGCAGTGCAGCTTGGGCTTGAGCTCTGGGCCCCAGCAAGTCTTAACACCAGCCTTGGCAACCCCATTAAAATGGGGTTGTGACCCACTTTGGGATCCCAACCCAGTTTGAGAATCGCTGGTCTAGAGCCAGGGTCCAAATGCTATCTCTGGGTCTTCCTTGTCCATGGAGGAATTTTTAGAGGCTACCTCTTGCAATTTTCATCTATTTACTTCTGTGGAGAAGCAAACTTGGGCTTTTGCCATTCCTCACCCTGACAAATAATGAGAAGGAACAGAGTTGAAATTCACCAAACTTTCACTTCCCTATCCAGAAATTACCTGCTTAGGAGTGAAAAGAGCCCTTAGTGAAATTATGTCACTGCTTTGACTATAGCTGCAAAATGTCAATTTTAATACAAAGCCCATTTTCCTTGTTTTCACATATTGTACTGTTTATGACATTCTTTGCATCTGGCAATTTATGACTATTGCACTATCCTTATGCTTAGCTTTAAACTACAACTTACTTGCATCTTAGGAGTGCTATTCAATTTGAACAGATAAGCTTTGGTTCTGAACTGTACTTGACCTTTAACATTGTACTCTGAACAGAGCACAACAGCTTCTTCAGCTGCTATTTCCATTAAAATTGCAGTGCTGTTTGTGGAAAATGAAATACATCTTAGCCCAAATGTTGTCCAATACCTTCATTGTACATTAGCACTTGCTATTTATGGCATTACTACAGCTGTGTTCTGCTATGGTTCATATTTCTAAGACAGACTAGATTTTTTTGTTCTGTCTTCAGAATATGAAGATAAAAACTCAGCAAACAGGTTTCAGTAAAATTATTTTTGCAGAGTATCCACATACTCTACAAATGTTTCATCAGCCAATTTGAGTTATTTTTCACAAGAAATGAACATACTTGTTGCACTTGTTGCACTTATTAGCACTGCCTTTATTGGTTACATAATTTTTAAGGCTGTATTTTTCCAGATGGAAAAACATCCCATCTCAGTGAACAAAACTCCTGAGTTTACAGAAATGGTAAAGAATACAATCATTAAATCTTTAGTTAAGAAAGGGAATGGTATTTCAAAGTCTGTTTTGGGTTACATAGCACTAAACTGGGGCTGTACTCGTCCAATGAGAAATAAGACTAATTCTAAGGGTCAGATCCTGATATCTTTACTCAAAACAAATAATACTTTACTTCACAGTGATCCCATTAACAGGCCCACCTGTAGAGTAAGATACTATTCAGCATGACTATGGATGTCAAAATCTGTCCCTAAATATATTTGGCAGGAGAAGACTCGTGTTAATTCAAATAATTCTTGCTTCAAGTACAGTTACTACTTACCTATTGAAATAATACATTTAGATCCATTTGTATTTTCAATTTTATTACATAAACACTTCTGTAGAAAATTAGATTAACAAGTGAAAATGTATCAAGTTTACCAAAACACATAGGACAATAATTTAAAGTTAACACTTGTAAAAACGTGTAGTCTAGAAAAATACATAGGAATTTAAAGAATGTTAATGTGTGAAAAAGTAAACTAATGTAGCAAAACAGACAGGAAAATATTACAATTCTAAGATGAACATGTTAAATCCTTTAGGAAAAATATATAGGCTAATAATGAAACGTATCATATTATTCAATAGACATTTAAAGTGGAGAATAAATCAGTCTTTTGGTAAATTGGTCATTCTTATCTGGTAATAACATTCCTTCCTCTTGGCTTATTAAATGTAATCTTCTTGAAAAGAAGAACAGAATCTGCAATACAAAGACCAACCAATAGAAGACCAAAGACCTGCAAATAAAAAGAAAACTCTCAATTTCCTCCTTTGCACAGTTAGTTGTTTATCGTCTTTACCTTTCATTTTAATAACTCATTCATTACCAATTCTGAGCAGATGCAGTTGCTACAGATCACTAAATTGGTTCTGGCCTTCTAAATGTTTCTGGATGAATATTTGATTTGTGATTGAGAAATTCAGTGTTCTCCATACTTTAGGTCAGATATACTGCAATCTCTCATAAAATGACTTTTCCCCTATGCGCTGGCAATCATCTTCACCCTGACCTTGCTTGCCCTTCATCTGTCATCTCTATGAACAGGAAGTGACTCAATCTCCATGGAAACCAGACTACAGACATGCTTCTTTATGTGAGATTATGCTTTCCTCCAGAACCAAATCTCTTATATCTGTGTAAGGGATGATCTACTTAATGGTTTTGGACTGCAGTAAACTCAGTGTTTGCAGATGCAAGGCTAGAAGAAAAAGATATTTTTCTCTTTCAGAAGTTTTGAAGTGAAAAACTCTGACAGGAAGTTACCTTATTTAATGTTTAAAATGTGAATACTTGTTAAAACATAGGGCTAACTCATAACATTTCAGTCACAAGGAAGCAAAACAAGTGTTTGCTAAACAGGACTCTTAGGGTATGTCTTTCCTGCATAGTTAACTTGGGTTCTTATGTGGGTGTTGCCCTAAGCCTCTGCCCATCCATATATAAAGCACCAAAGTTTGGTGATGCTTTAAACCTGTGTTAGGTGGTCTGGCTGGGGGGTACAGGCTAGAGGTCGGGTGCCACTTTAACTTGGGCTGGTAACTCACCCATTTTTCAGTGAAGAGGCAAGCCAAATCACTCAAGTGATGATAACTTCAATGCCTTCCCACAGTTTCCATGTGCCCAGAAGGCAAGAAAAGTTCTCCCACAATTCACTGGGGGAGAATCGTGGAGCAGCTCTGTTTATTGCAGCACAAAGAACCTTGGGATATGCCCCCCAGAGGTCTAGCAACACATGTGGACGAGTGTGGTACCAGTGAGGGAACAGTGGGTATGGTTATACAGCAACTAGGAGGTGTGAATCCTAGCTCAGGTAGATATACGTTAGCTCTGAACTAGTGTGCTACAGCTTGTAGAGTACCCACAGCAGCATGGGAAGCAGCTCAGGCTAGCCAAGCAAGTACAATCCCCCCAACTCCATGAGTACATACTTGGGGTGGCTAGTCTGAGGCACTGCCCGTGCCACCGCAACCACACTGCTACTTTTAGGTGCTAACTTGAGCTGAGCTAGCATGCGTGCGTTTACTCATGCTGGGAATCACACCTTCCCGCTGCTGAGTAGAAATATGCAGTAACTTGAGTATGGCTTTGCAGTGTGGCTGCTCAGACCTCGGCAGCAATCACTCAAGATAACCCTGCAGTGAACAGGCACCCTTCGATCACCAACCCAACTAGCAGCACTTACCACCTCTTTGTTACTGTATGTTAGCAGTTTAAGAGCACATCTATACTTGAGCTAGAGGTGTAGCATACATGTGCTAGCACGCTAACTGTAGTGTAGCTGTACCGGTGTGGACAGTGTGATGGGCTAACCATCCCAAGTACGATCCCGCCCAGGATCCTAGGTACTTTGGGCAGCTAGCCCATGCCACAGCTTGTTCCACTGTGGCTACAACTGTGGCCTCACTCAGAGCTAGCACACATATCTACTCGAGCTGGAAATTACTCCTCCAGATAGAGGGCAGATGTACCCCCAGTATCACTTGGAGTCCTGTTAGATGCTTTGTGTGCTACACTACAAAGTTACATAAACCTCTTCTAAATAATCTGTTCTTCGAGTAGCAGGGTTTGCTCTGATTTTAGTTATAAACACTGGAATGACCCATGATCACAAGCACACTTTAAAAACTGTTTTGTTGTCATCTTTAGCAAAAACAAAAGAAAACTAACCCTAACCCTAAGTATACACTCTTCTTTGCAAATAAATTAGCTAAATATGACAATCTGTAAAGCTATATATTAAGATCAGCTCTGCTTTTACACTTTATCTGCTTATTATTCATTTCCTTATGTGACAGTCCTCCATTTGTACTTGGAGGGAGGGGAGAAGTACTGACTCTTTACTCAGATGTTCCTTTATCAAATTATAACAACACACTGGATGTCTAATATTTATGTTAGTAAAGGTAATTTAGCAAATGCAGTTAAAACATGAGAGGCATTCTAAAACATGTTTGTCGTCTGAATTCTAACTTTTCAACTCAATGCTATTTGCTACACAACATGAACAGTTTCAAAATAATAGTACTTTATTAATATAAATCATTTGTGAACGCTATCTGAAGGAGACAATAATTCACCTCATTCCTCTTTCCCGAATGTAGGCAAGGACCTCATATGGTTAAAATTGGCAACTAGCTATGCTAATTAACATCAGCTAAGAATCTGGCCCTTTATATTTAATCATGAGAGGCATTTGGAAAACAAATGCCAGAGAAACAAGTTAAACATTTCTGACTAAAAAATTATAGGTTCTCATATTCTCGAAGACAAAACAATCCAATAACCTTTTTTAATTGCTCTAACAGTTCACTCTCAGCAAGTTATGCACAACCATTGTTTATATTATGTAATTTGGGCCTTTATCAGGAGTTTTTCTGCAGTATGTTCACTCCCCCAAGACTTCTTTATTTGACATGGTGATTCTCTAGTGAGCTAGAAAAAGAATGATTGCGTCTTAGCTGTCACCCAGGAGGAAACTATCCTTTACTATTTCCAGTGCATTTCACTTGGCTTGAGTGCCTGGACTCAGATCTGAAAAGAATCTGGTGTGTTTTCTTAAGTGAACCACCTTTCTATGACACAGTTGCTGCTAAAATGCATTACTTATCTTAAGTGTAGTAGTGAAGTTTTCATTTCTTATAGAATGGGAGTTTGCTGTTTTAGTCAATGACCTGTTCATAATAGAATGAACTGGATCTTCAGACATGACTAAATCCAGATTTGTAAAACCAATTTCTCAAGTGTGTAAAGGGTGGGGAGAGATAATCTGCTTCTCTCTCTCTTGGCAATCTTAATAGCCTTATTCATTTTGTCCAAATATCTGTTTTATTAGGCTTGGCTTTAATCTCCTGCATCGTGGCAGCTAATAAGTCCTCAATCTTTTTATCCTGAATTTGTGCAGTGCTTTCTGCTGCTATAGCTTTTAACTCAACTTTAAGTTCTCCAGATTGCTCATGCAGGAGACAATCCTATCAAATGTTTAATCCAGCACAGTCAGTCACTTATTTTGGAATATTTGTAAAAACTTTCTTTTAATTTTCTTCACTTGTCAGCACTGGAATAAAATGACAGCTTTGCACACTATGGCTCATAGCTGTATGTACAAAGAACTCATAGCGTGAGCTCTGGTTTTTATTGTTTGACGTATTTTAACAACTTCTGTTTTCAGAAAGCCAAAAATACTTTAAACAGGTGAGTTTTTAGTCCTTTATTTGTTTTAAATTGTATATTTATCAGTCTCACCAGCACCTCCTCTTTTTGTGTGCTGACCTTCCCTTCTCTGATTTGTTTAAAAATGCAAATGACAAGTGGCTTGAATTTATGATTGGGTTTGATCTTAAATATTCAAACTATAAGCTGAACAACCGACTTTTTTATCCGTATAACAACCTCCTTAGTTTGCAATGCTCTGCGCAGTGTGAACATGGAGACCTGGGACCGTCCTGGTCTCTCACTCGGTTTTATAAAAATAATACACAGGACTGGGAATTAAGAACTGAGAGGAAAAAAATCAGTGTATGTCTACTCTTGGGTTTCAACTATGTTTTAATAGAAGTACAGGCACGTCTCAGGAAGGATACTGTAATAAACTGGATAGTCCCAAATTAATTCACTTCGGATCATCCAACCTGGAATTTCAACTTTTAGAAGTGCAGGTGAATTAATTGAAAACATTTATACTCCCTCCCACCACAGCAAACCCAAAGCAACAGTGATATATTAAAATTGCAACTTGTATTGTCAAAAAACTTTATCAGAACTAAGAATCCTGTGATTATATGGTAAATGAAATCTTCGTCGTATGTAAATTTAAGTAATACAGTAATACCAGCTGGCTCTTATATTTGTCAAATATAACTCATTGCATGTTACATCTATTGTTTGGGTATTCTGCATGCCATAATATGTTCAACTGGATAAGGAGGTTAGCCCGCATGGCCACGTTAAAATGACAGATTTATTTTGAAGAAAAAAGAACAGTAATATTTGGTACATGAGCATGATAACTAAATATTTAAACCATCTCAATTTTAATGGTCTAATTTATTATTATTACGATAAATTCCCCTACTTACTCCTCCAACCAGAGTCCCAGTCGTGGTCTTGATTATTATTGCACACAGGCACACAATGATAAAGAACAAAACTGCAATCAATGAGTTGAAAATATCCTGAAAATGTATTATAAAACATAATTAACTTTCATTAAAGTACATGGCTAACAAATACTGAAACGTGCATACTTGTAGCATATAGCAGTCTTATTTTACTCCTTGAAGGAAGTAAATGAAAACAAAATATATTTGTTGTGTTGAAAAACGTTAAATGATTGCAAATATGATGAGGTTCAATAAGGATAAGTGCAGGGTCCTGCACTTAGGATGGAAGAACCCAATGCACCGCTACAGACTAGGGACCGAATGGCTAGGCAGCAGTTCTGCGGAAAAGGACCTAGGGGTGACAGTGGACGAGAAGCTGGATATGAGTCAGCAGTGTGCCCTTGTTGCCAAGAAGGCCAATGGCATTTTGGGATGTATAAGTAGGGGCATAGCGAGCAGATCGAGGGACGTGATCGTTCCCCTCTATTCGACATTGGTGAGGCCTCATCTGGAGTACTGTGTCCAGTTTTGGGCCCCACACTACAAGAAGGATGTGGATAAATTGGAGAGAGTCCAGCGAAGGGCAACAAAAATGATTAGGGGTCTGGAACACATGAGTTATGAGGAGAGGCTGAGGGAGCTGGGATTGTTTAGTCTGCGGAAGAGAAGAATGAGGGGGGATTTGATAGCTGCTTTCAACTACCTGAGAGGGGGTTCCAAAGAGGATGGCTCTAGACTGTTCTCAATGGTAGCAGATGACAGAACGAGGAGTAATGGTCTCAAGTTGCAGTGGGGGAGGTTTAGACTGGATATTAGGAAAAACTTTTTCACTAAGAGGGTGGTGAAACACTGGAATGCGTTGCCTAGGGAGGTGGTGGAATCTCCTTCCTTAGAAGTTTTTAAGGTCAGGCTTGACAAAGCCCTGGCTGGGATGATTTAACTGGGAATTGGTCCTGCTTCGAGCAGGGGGTTGGACTAGATGACCTTCAGGGGTCCCTTCCAACCCTGATATTCTATGATTCTATATTCCCAATATCGCTATTACTTGCCAAGAAACAAAATCTTTTCGCCTCTGAAATGGGATTAGGCAATGTCCAAATCTGATCAGTGTGATACCAAGTGGCACGATGCTAAAAATTGCATTCCTGAAATAAGAAAAGGAGTACTTGTGGCACCTTAGAGACTAACCAATTTATTTGAGCATGAGCTTTCGTGAGCTACAGCTCACTTCATCAGATGTACATCAGAGGTACATCTGATGAAGTGAGCTGTAGCTCACGAAAGCTCATGCTCAAATAAACTGGTTAGTCTCTAAGGTGCCACAAGTACTCCTTTTCTTTTTGCGAATACAGACTAACACGGCTGTTCCTCTGATTCCTGAAATAACCCCCTTTGTCTGAGCCCTGATCTACGCTATGAATTTATGTCTGGGTGTTTTATTCATTTGATATTGTTGGTAGTGAGTTTTTGTAATTCAAATATATTCATTATTCAAAAGACTAGCTCAATTTAAAACAAAAGAGAATTAATACAAGAAAGCAATTATGATCTTTTCCCCTAGGCAGAATTGTAGCTGCATCTTAGCTTTGCAGAACTAATGCTTACACTGTTTTGAAATAACATGGAGCCTGGTCACAACTGTTAATTAGGCACTAGCACAACACCACTTGTTTTTATGCATAAATCACAAAACGCATACGTACCTACACTTGCATTTGAAAAGATACAAATCAATACTTACAGCTAAAGGCCAAAATAAGAATTTCATCTTTTTATCTAGTTTGAGCAAGTAGAGCAGAAAGAATAACAGAGTGACGACAAATTCCATGATTGCAAGGGCTATGAAGGCTTCATGGGATTTCGAGGCAGCGAAACAGATGAATGTTACAAAGGCAACAACCTGAAAGAGTAACGACAGTATTGACTAACGTCCTCCCTCGCCATGTCAGCAGGGGGTCGGCACGGAGCTAGACACTCCAGGGCGAGACCTAGTTCCGCAAAACGCCCCGCTGCCCGGCCGCCACCGATCGGCCCCGGCCCTGCGCATTCAAGGACGGGCCTCAAGCCCGCTAAAGCCCCTAGGACGCTGAATTTACTGCAGCGGGGCTTAGCGGACGGCGCTGCGGCCCGCCCCGCGCACACAGCGCCCGCCCGCGCCTCGTACCAGACGGGCGATTTTCAGCGCCCCCGGCAGGGAGCGGGGGTAGCCGCTGTTCAGCTCCACCATGGTGCGCGGCACCCTGCTGCGGCGGCGGCCGTCGCTGCGGGGCGGTGCCGGAACCAGCTGACGCGGCCGTTGGGCACGTGAGCGCCTGAGCAGCCTCCCCTCCCCGGCCCGCGCGGGAGGCGGCGGGGCTCGCGCCGGCCCGCGCGCACAGAAGGGGCTGGGCAGGGGAGGCCGGGGTCGCTCGTGCAGCCCGCCCCGCTCCTTGTGCATCCAGCTGCACCTAAACCCAGCCCCGAGGCACAGCTAGACGGCTGCCGCCCAACTCTCCCGCCCCCCATCGCTGTAGAGCCAACATCATCCAGCCCCCCCACCCGTGTATAGCGAACCCCCTTTCACTCTCCAGAGCCAACTTCCCACAACCCTCCACCTCCTGCATAGCTAACCCCATCCAATTCTCTAGCCCCTCCCGCTCTCCAGCTCCCCCCCAGCAGAGCCAACTTCCCACAACCCTCCACCTCCCGTCTACCCCCCACACACTCCTGTATAGCTAATCCCCTCCCACTCTCCAGACACCCCCCAGCAGAGCCGACTTCCCACAATCCTCCACCTCCTATCTAAACACCCCCCCTACAACTCTCCAGCCTCCGCCCCCGTAGAGCCAACTCCCTGCAACTCTCCAGTGACTAGTCCCTACAATTGCGCTGTGTTCCTCATTTATCAGGGTGTATAGGTTCCATTAGCAGATGGGGAAACAAACGCAGACAGGTTCCCCTGCAGGCACTGCAATCGAAACGTTGCCGCGCTGTTGCTCCTGTAAGAAAACTAGAACGTGAAATTGACCAGCAACAAAAATGAAACTGGTTAATTTATTTTCATTGTCTAGCCTGAGTTGCAAAAAAGTAAAAAAGCCCCAAGCAGGGTGAAAAGCACGTCAGTTCTTAGTTTGAATAGCCTGTGTTGGTGTTTTTAACTTAAGCAGAATTTTTAATGCAACCACCTTCTTGAATGAATGAGCATCTGCCAAAACATAAGAAACAAACTTGTAAAACAGGAGCATTATTCGAGAGCGCACTGTGTCTTTAAGGGCCCCGCTGGAAGGCTTCCAGCAGTAGTTTGCTAAGATTGGTTGCTCAATGCGTTGCTCAGTGCTTAATACAGTAGCGGAGCTGGGATCATACAGGAAGCAAAACATTACAGCAGCGGAAATGCGTGCAAGGCATAGAAAAGCTCTATGCGGCTGGAGTCTTATACCTAAGTCTTAGAGCTCAAAGCTACCGGAGATGGGCCATGTGGTTACTGAAGTCGTTATGGATCCGGCCTTTCCTAAGCCTTCAATATACCAGGGGCGCTCAAGCTGGCCTCGAGTTTTGTAGCGGGAACAGCCAGCGGAAGCAATTGCTACATTCACTGATGGCTAATCGCAGCCTCTGCATGGCCGGCTGCTCCCAGGACGCCTCATGTACGTCTGGTACTTATGCGGCATGAACCGTGAAGTTGTGTTTAAAAGATTGTTGATGCTACCCTTGCGCCCTGGTATTTGTAGCATCAGGAATCTCTCGCGCTGTCTCTCAAGAGATTTATTATTTGAGATGAAAGTACTGTAGAGAGAGGGGGAAAAAAAAAAAAGCAAACGCCACTTCATTCCTCGAAATAGGTTGGTGGTTATTGCTTTTCACAAAGAAGTAGCTGACGCTTGTTTGAAAGGTATTTGAGAAAATGCATTTGATCTAGTGGATAGATCTGGTGTTATTTTATTAAACATTGTTGCTGCGGTCCTTGATTTATCTTTTCTTAAGTATGTAGCTGTGTGTACATTAAATCTGCTGATCGCAGTAGGCAGCTTCTATTAGTATTTGGCCTCCCACAAATTACTCATGATATAGAGGAATTACGAAGGAGGAACGCACTTGCCAAATGGGGAAGTTTAAAAAAAAATGAAATGCAGGATATTTAAAAAGTTTCACACCTTTCAAATATATCCCCCACTCTTCATTTTTTGAAAACAGGATGAACTCTGGTTAATTTTTTTTGTAGTAGAAAGGCAGAGGCAGTTTTTGAACTCGTGAGCAACCAGGAACTTTCAAAACCCCTTCACGACACTAGTTAGTACCCATTTCTACTTCTCTATTAAAGTGCACAAATGAACAATATATGGTAATTAAATGCCCTGAGTCCTTGCTCACCTATACATAGTGAACAAAGGTGCAGTGAACATTGTAAAGGGACATTATCAAATTGCAATCCAGTCAATTTCAGAAAATAAGTTAAAAGTAGTTTTAATTATACCTGTTCTGAGTCTCCGGTCAATTTTTAATTAATTATTATTTTTTTTTTTTTACAATCACAAAATTCCCTGTTTTTAATATGGTTTCCTTCCACTGTGAGAGAGAGACCCAAACAGAGAGAAACTGACTTTCCACAAAAAGGAGGACTTTTGGCACCTTAGAGGCTAACAAATTTTTTTGAGCATAAGCTTTCGTGAGCTACTGTAGCTCACGAAAGCTTATGCTCAAATAAATTTGTTAGCCTCTAAGGTGCCAAAAGTCCTCCTTTTCTTTTTGCGAATACAGACTAACATGGCTGTTACTCTGAAACCTGACTTTCCACAGGCTCTGGAGTCTGCACTATCAGTTTGAATTGTGGAACTGGTTTGTCATTCTCCACACAAAGTTCTGTCAAAGGTGCATAGTATCTGTTTTTCTCTACTCTTTTCAGTGATAGACTATCTTAGATGTTACTTGTAACAATAGTAGGTACACATTTTTAGATGGACGAGTATCTTTTAAATTGAAAATATCTCCTTAGTATCTAAGTTCCTTATCCTGCAGAAAGCTCTGTGGACTGTGAAGTCAGTGGTGCTTTGTTCAGGCATAGGGATCTGCCTACAAGTAATTCATTGCAGATTTGGGGCCTATTTACTTATGGTGAAAATAAGCGCTAACAAAGAAACAACCATACATAATACATAATCTTGCTCAATGAAGGTAGGAACCAGCCATTTGACTGCTTATAGTGTATAATATAAAGTAAAGCCATTATAGCCAGGGGAGTTTAATGTAACATGTTTACTGTAACCTATAACTCCTAAACCTAAAACTCATTAATATATTCATTCTTACAAGAGTCCTGATAGTGGTTTGGATATATAATCTAAAAGCAGTTTCCTAGTTCTTCTAACAGTGTTTCTTCCTGTTCTAGATAAACACCTGATTAGTGAAGGAGAGAAAAAGACAGTTGTAAGTATAATATTTTGCTCTGAAAAATGTATTTAGTATATTATTATTATTACAGTATAATTGTATTATGGAAATGTTCACAGGCTAATGACTGGGTCTTGGTGTGAGCTGGTACACAAATCTAGAGTCTTATCCTGCATTTTGTTCCAGGCAGGCAGGCAGGCAGGCAGACCCTTTCTGAAATCATTGAGGTAACTTAAAAGAAAATCAAGAGGGTTTTATGTGGGTGCAGGGGCTGCTCGTGTGGAAACAAAGTTGCTTGATCAGGGCCACAGAAGTAGTCAGCATTCTGAATGTAGTCTCCTTCCTTTACACTACATGTATTTTGTCTGTAAATTCTAAGTACTCAATTCATGGTGTTTTAAGTCTAATTATTTTATGATATATTAGTAGTTGGTTGGACAAAAATATCTTTCACTAATTTTAGAAACCTAGATGTCTAAAAGAAATTGTAATTTGCCTGAGAAAAATCTGTTTATGGGTGTAGAAGTGATAACATGTAATGTACAATAAATTGTATTCAAAGTAAGCTTAAAGCCTTTTGGGGTGAAATTTAAAACACTGTGGACGGCTGTGTAATGGGTGCAGTAAAAGGTGCAGCAGCACTGCAGGGAAACCTCTGGAACCCTACGTGCCATGGAAAGGGGTTCTGCAGTTCTGAAAAGGATGTTGTGGTGAGGCGTTAGGATTGGACGGTGCAGGTCCAGTAGCCCAAAGCCTCCAGGCTTTGGCATTCCACAGGTATTGAATCAAACTCTTTTTATTTTAATAAAAAGAAAAGGAGTACTTGTGGCACCTTAGAGACTAACCAATTTATTTGAGCATGAGCTTTCATGAGCTACAGCTCACTTCAAAGTGAGCTGTAGCTCACGAAAGCTCATGCTCAAATAAATTGGTTAGTCTCTAAGGTGCCACAAGTACTCCTTTTCTTTTTGCAAATACAGACTAACACGGCTGTTACTCTGAAACCTGTCGTTATTTTAATAGTCACACTAACTGTACAGTGCATATGGAACTGGGGTGCAGGTCTGTAGTTGCAAATATGGTTTTGAAAATCTGGCCTGTTGAAGCCAATATGTATCAGTTTGCACAAGTAAGACCCAAAACTGTACTGGCAACTTGTATCTTTAGATATTAAAGGTTTGATTTCCCCACTGTGGTGTTCCATATTTTTTCCAGCACAAAACTCCATTGCTTTCAACATGTGACTCCACTGTAAAGCTTGTACAATGCAACAGTGAATCAAGACCCGAACTCCTGAAGTTCAGGGATTCTCTTGGAAATGCTTTAACTATATTGCTCTAATTTGCTCTAATGAACTTATAATACTAATGGATTATATTTAGGCTATAAGTATGTGTTTCTACATTTGCTGTCAGTTATTTCTTTTCAGTAGCATTTCATTTAATATTGAAAGGTTGGTGCCTTCTTTCACCAGATCTGTGTTGAGGGGAATATTGCAAGTGGAAAAACAACATGCCTGGATTATTTTGCCAAAACTGCCAGCATTGAGGTAAGGGGCTTGAAACGTCTTAATGTTCAATCAAATCAGCAAGAGTGTTTCTGTTGATAGCATTGACAGTATTCAAGTCTACTGCAGTATTTCCCAAGATTAAATGAGAGTAAGATGAATTTAAAGGAACACTGTCAAACATTTTCTAGTTTTTAAACTGTTAGCAATAGTCCCAGAAGTTTAAAAACAATACTTTTTTTTCTTGATGTTGCCTTTTTTCATTTGGCAACCAATACTTTTCCTTGTTTTCCAGTACTTTTTGTTGTTAATGAAATGGAAGCCAATATAATGTATTTTTACTACGTTTGTGCTTGGGTTAATTGTTGCCTCGATCTACGATCACACACATGCATAGCTTTGCTCATGTAAAATAGGCTATTGATGGCACTGGGTCTGCCTACCTGATTAAATATATATATATATATGAGTATTTCCATAATCAAGGTCTAAGTTAGTATTAGTTTCTTGGAATATTGTAAACAGAGTCAGTGGAAAAAGCAATATATATTTTAGGAAAATTCTTAGTTGTTGAGTGG